GGGTAGAAAGAGGTATAGGAGGGATAAATGGTGACGGAAGGAGACTTGACTTGGGGTGGTGAACACATAACTCAATATACAGATGTTGTGTTACAGAATTGTGCACCTGAAACCTATATAATTTTATTAACCAATGTCACCCCAATAAATTCAATAAAAAGGTAAAATATAAAATAAATTGAAACCCCCTCTCTGTCTTTAGACATCACTAAATAGGATCTCCTCCTTTGCCTTTATGGGTCTGTGAGTTAATTTTGCAGAGAAGCCAAAAGCTTTTCTGAGCATCTCTTAGAGGCTCCAGGTAGGGTCAACCCTGGTGTTTTCCAATAAAATCAAAGGTGAACACCACTTAGGTATTTTGCGGCTTTTTACTCTGATCAGCTCATGCAGCAGAACAAGAGCAAATACCCCTGCACATGTCTGACCTCAGTGCTTCTCCAACACACAATTTCAGGCTAATTCCCACTGTTCTTGGCAGACCAAACCCCACAGTGTGGTCCTCATGTATGGGCAGCTGGTATCTTGTCTTCATTGAATGGGATAAGAAAATCCACTGTAATCTCCGTGTGGGGATCGGTGACACAAGAACCCCTGTTAATGCTCAGAAATTTATTCCACTCCAACAAGCAGGAGAAGTCTTCCTGCAGCTGCTGGCTTGGCTATTAAAAAAGATGCTGCCTCCATCAATAGCCTCTCCTCTTGGTCCACGAGGAGATGGGCCAAAAGAACCCTGCACAAAGCGGCCAGGGCAAGATTCAAGAGTAAAATCATCTTCATGCTATTTCTAACGACAAATCTGAAACGAGAGTCACTGGTGCAAAAGATCAAAGCGATGGGCTTTGTGGTGGCCTGGACACAGAGGGAAAGGTGTAGAGGTGGGAAAGCCTAGCCTTCTGTTGTTAGCTTCGGCAGCCACAGGCATTATTAGGTAACTGGAAAAGGGCATTGTTGGGTAAATTTCCTGGGCCAGGAGGCCGGGAAAGAGGCTGACAATGCTCATTACATCAAGAGTTTATTAAGGGAACTTACATACGAGGCATGTCTTGGACGGCAGCAAGGTGCCACGGATATCCACGTGGCAGGTGATAAGGGGTTAAATAGTACAGTGCAGGGTGGAAGGGGTACTGAGGTGACCCATCCAGATTAGAGGAAAATGCCTTACGTGCTTGCTGGGGCTGGGCAACTGTGTGTTCAAGAAGCAGCATGCCTGCCCTAGCCGGTTTGGCTCAGTGGTTAGAGCATCGGCCCTTGGACTGAAGGGTCCCAGGCACGTACCGTGGTTGTGGGCTCGACCCCTGGCCCAAGTCAGGGCACCTGCAGGAAGCAACCAATCGGTGAGTCTCTCTCTCATGGATGTTTCTCTCTCTCTCTCTTCCAAT